TTTTGACAGCTTATGTGTTTTGTTTTGAAAACGCTGAAAACAGTGTTTTCACACCACACCTATCTTGGTATGGTGACAGTTTTCTGGCAGCGGTCTGACTTTTCACACCACACCTAACTTATCAGTAGATTATTCAATAAACTGTAGCTGCCCCAAACAGACCCTTAGAGAAATGATATATAGCTCACAAAGTGCTCTTTGGTTTATGACTGTTGAATAGAGCTCTATAGTAAAAATTTTAGCTTTGCTTTTAAATCACAAGATAAATTAAAGGAAGCTTTACATACATTCCCCTCAATTCCTATATGTTTGTATGGTTAATATTTAAATTTTAATTTTTATAATTATAGCATTTTACTTGTGCATGAAAAAAAAATATATTTTACTTTCTAAAAATTAGTAACAGTGATATTTATAATGTGGTGTGAATGATTTGAGTGTTAGAATTGTAAAAAGTACATTGTAAGTTTTGGATATGTGTACAAGATAATTTTGGTGGTATGTTTATAAATGCCCCCGTATGGAGGCACAAGCGGATGCTAGTAAAAACGGGCACATGCAGTTGGCCACTCAACATTTGCACGCAGCAGTTCATTTTATAGGCATGCAAACATAGTCTGAGACTTCAGATGTATTTGGGGCAGATTTTTAGCTAGGATGCGACAGGAAAATGAAGAAACTGACGTTTCAAAAAAAATTAGTAGTGATTTTTCAGCTTATTTGAGTGAACTGCGGGTTAATCCCATGGCCCGCGTTTCGTTCGTGTGTTGATACCTCGATTGTCCTTGACTTCACACTGCTTTTTGTTCGCATGTATTGCGCTTTGACCCCATGCTTGGTTCTACTCTAGCTCCTCAACCTCTACCCTCAACTTTGTTTGGCGGATTTCGACTGCATTTCTCTTGTCCTTCCTTTCTCTCTTAATACTTGTTTTTGGTGGCATTCTTCCATTGGTAGTCTTTACCCTATATTATTGATGTTAAAATTAGCTTGTGGTTTGAAGATTTGTTATTTGTGACTTGCTCCTTGCGATCCATGATTTGATTTTTTGTGGTTTCTAGTTTTTTTTTTGTGGCCCGTGCGGGTTTCTTGCGATTTCTTGGCCTTTGCTCAAAAGATTGTTTTTGGGATAATTACGTACAATTGTGTTTACAAATCGATTCCAAACATTAATATCATTTTTTTTTTAGATAATTAGGGTGGCTTGCTCAGTTGGTCTCTCCCCTATATTTCATTTTTGGGATAATTACATATAGAGCACAAGAAACATTGTTTTTTACAAATCAATTCCTATTGGTGATTTTTTGAACTATGAATTTTATGCATTTACGCGTGCCATGATTATCTTGCATGAATTTGATAAAAATGAAAAATATGGGTAGGGGTTTTATGCCTTTGATATTTAAGTGAGGATTTGAAAAATGGATGAGAGGGAGCTTGATTTGTAATGATAATGTTTTGGGTGCTCTGTATTTAATCGTCCCTTCATTTTGTTGGTTCAACTGGAACAACCTTGCTGCTCTACTCATTGGTTGGTCTTGTTGGTGGTTTACCCTATTTGTTGGAGGAGGATATGCTATGTTGGTGTTGATGTTTGTAGTCATGGTGTGGGTGATGCCTTTTTTGTACCAGTGTTGTGTGTTGTTGTTGGTTTGTGTTGATGCTAGGGGTGGTGTGTGTTGATGTTGGTGGTGGTGTTGTTAGTGGTGATGGTGTTTGTGATATTGTTGGTGATGCTCTTGGTGGTGTGTGCAGTTGCTGGGGGTGATTCTTCAATGTCGTGGTGGTGGTGTTGTTGGTGGTGTGTGTAGATGCTGAGTTGGTTCTTCAACTTCATGGTGTTGTTGGTGGTGTGTATTGATGGTGGGAGTGGTGTTGTTAAGGGTGATGTTGGCGTTCCTAATTTATTATGATGTTTCATTTCAGTTACCTTTGAGTTATGATATTTTAAATGACACTTTGTTTTTCCTCTACTGTACATTTATGTTGCTTGGTTATTTTTCGTGCTAGTATTGTCATGGTAAAAATAAAAGAAAATGGTTGTCTTCCATGTGGGATAAAGATGCCAAAATAATATTTTGTGATCCCTATTTTAAAGAGGTGGAGTTAGGAAATAAATCAACAACCTATTTTAACAAGGTGAGATGATAAAATATAATAAAGAAGTTTAGTGAGCGCACAAGAAGGGAATATGACATGATGCAATTGAAAAATATGTGAGATTAGTCGAATGATCGAAAAAATATGAAAATAGTTGAAGCAGGATCTACAGGCTTGGCTGGGACCTGATAAAACGAACCATCAATGCTTCAGAAGAATGGTGGGTCGAGAGATTAGAGGTGAGAATTTATGAAATGTGAACTTCCTTTCTAATTATTCTCTTTAATTACATTAACATATGAATAATCCATTAATTTGTAGGTCGTTCCAAATGCTAAAATGTTTAAGTTCAGTGGTATTGATTCTGAGCTTGAAGAAAGTTAAGAACCCCTAGTAAGAGAGGGTTTGCTGGCATGGCTGAGCGTGTGGATGTTGAGCTAATTTATGATTCCAATGAAGCCCCTAGCCCTAACCTCGATAAAGTTGAATCTACTAGTCAATCTAAACATCATAGAGTTAAGAAAAAGAAAAAGAAGTGTTATCTTCATTAGAAGCCAATATTTACAATTAGTTGCTTCATGTACCAATGAGCCTGTCACATCACAAACAACTTCTATTTAGCAAATAATGCAAATTCTAGAAGCAACTCTAGAAATTTACAATGACATGCAGTTGTACTTGTTCTCTATGAAGTTGCTTGAAGAACCAACCCGAAGAGAGTTCTTCATGACTATGACCTCTGACCTTAGGGTCAATTATTTGCATTATTTTCATGATAATAGTGACGTTGGAATTCCATTTTTTTTATTTGGACAATTTACATTTGTTTTTCATTGGGACCATACTATGTTTTGGATATGCTTTGGTCTTATATATTAGACAATATTTTTTTTCTTTCCTTTTGAGAAAAGTTGGATCGTGCAATTTATTATTTGCTTTTCAGAGTTTATTTATGATTGTTTGTTTACTACATATTCGGGTGGTAGCTAATTTAGTGATTTTTATATGTGTTAGCTGCACATACACGAATAACATGGACAGAGAAAGACGTAGAGGAAGAATTGCAGATGTGGTGTGTTTATTGTATGAGTACTACAACTCATATATTGCTCACTTTTCTGACAGATGCTACACCGGCGCCTGGGTGTAGTGTCAAATAAGCAAGAGTTCTCATATTACTGACGGATGCGGGTAAAGAAGTTAGTTCATGAAACTCATATTAGGATAAGATGTTGAAAGATAGGTGCTCTCACAGGTAAATCAATTTAATTAGTTGATATTATGATTCCAAATATGTTATGTATTCAAGAAACTAAATAAGTTTAAGAAAATATTAAGGAGATTGATAACTTAGGTTTTAAAATTTGGTATTCAGGTAGGAGTCATACTAGAAATCTTGCAGGTGCAATTATAAATACGAGTTTGAAAGATGTATAAATTAATAGAATTGAAGATAAACTTATAACCTTTAAGACTGTTGTCAATACTATTTTTAATATTAGAATTGCTTATGCTCTTCAAGTGAGTTTAGATATATATTCTAAAGAAAAATTCTATAATAACCTAAAAAAGTTAATACAAATAATACCTCTTAAAGAAAATTTTTTTATTGGAGGAGATTTAATTGAACATGTTGATAGAGTTGTAGAAGATTTTATAAATATTTATGTTGGCTACGATTTTGGAGTGATTAATGAAGACGGTAGAGATACTTAGATTTTGGTCTAGCGTATTATTTTGTTATTGCTAAATTTATTTATGAAAATGGATGAGCATATTCTTACTCATAAGAGTGGACTTAATAATACATAAATTAGTTATTTTCCTATGAGAAGAAGAGATTGTTGAGAATGTAAATATTGTAAGTGTTTCCATCAATTTTTTCTCTCTTTTATTTTTGAAGGAGTCGCCAGTCTATCGATCGTCGTATACTTACTTTCTCCGAATAAATCTCTATTCCAGGTCATATGAATAGCCTGAAGAAGAGTGGAACATGAAAAGACTAATATACGACAAATATAACAAATAAGAGAAAAAACCAAACATGGAGAGCCTAAGTGCGATAAATCTCGCAATGATAAGTTAAGTATGTCCGCCCAAACAAGGTCGGGCAGAGATTTTTTAGACCAATATCCACGAAAGAATACCTACGTATGCAACCCATACCAGAGTTTCAGGTAGATGCCTGTTTTAGGGTCAAGAGTACTCCCAAGGGACGTGTCCCACTTGGTTAATTACATCTTGGGGAATACTCAAGAATACTTTTGATAAAATGTGTTTCGTTTGTATTATCGTAGATCTGAAAAAGTAGGATATCAAAGAGGTTATTCCGTCTTGGAAAACCCATATCCTTCAATGCTTTGGCTAAGCCATTGAGTAGAGAGAGTGAGACTCTCACATCCCAAGTAGGTAGCGGATTATCGACATATGATACCCA